AAAGCAAAAAAAAAAAAAAAAATGCTCTTTTACATTTTTGTTTTTTTTTTTCTCTTTTTTTTTCGTCTTTTTATTTTCTCATAATAAAAGGACAAGTGTGGTGTGGTAGTTATTTAGAAAAAAAAAAGTGGGAATGAAATTCTCACGTGTTGCTATACCTGGAGTCAAAAATGTCATAACTCTTTGTAGTGCTAAGGGTGGTGTTGGTAAATCTACTTGCTCTGTTAATGTGGCACTTGCGTTGAAAAACATGGGATGTAATGTTGGAATTGTAGATGCAGATATCACTGGACCATCTATTCCAACTATGATGGGTGTAGACGCCTCGCAAGTGGAGACATATCGTGTGGCTGGAAGTGATAGATTTGCTCCACCGATGAACTTTGGTGTAAAAGTAATGAGTATGGGACTTGTGGTTCCCTACGATGAGGCTATTGCTATACGAGGACCGATGGTAAATAAATACATTCGGGCACTCTTATTCCAAACAGACTGGGATGAGCTGGACTATCTCGTTATTGATATGCCACCTGGAACAAATGATGTACACTTGACAATAACACAAGAAGTGGTGTTAACAGGTGCCGTTATTATTTCTACACCACAAAAAGTAGCTTTAGTAGATGTTCGACGTGGTATTGACATGTTTGCTGCTGTTAACACCCCAGTTTTAGGTATCGTTGAAAATATGAGTTATTTTTTATGTTCTAATTGCGGTGAAAAACACGATTTATTTGGTATGGGTGGGGTTCAGAAAACCGCCGAAGAACTTGGAGTGCCGTTCCTTGGGGAGATTCCCTTTGTGCAGCGTATAATGAAAGAAACAGATGATGGATATCCTCCTGCATTGCGTGGGGATTCCACATTAGAGGCAGCTAAGCCTTTTTACACTCTCGCTCAACGCATACATTCCATTGTGACAAAACTAAAAACCAAAGAAGGAGAAGGTGAACTCCCTGGACCGTCCATTATATTTAACGGATAATGATGCAATAATCACCCCATACAGGAATACATCTACCTGTACTGTTCAGAAAAAAAAAAAAAAAGAAAAAAGAAACTATATTTATTTTTTATTCAACCCTTCTTCACCAAAAGTCGTTACGGAGACAATTCCACCGGCTGTGGGCCCATATGCCCTTTCCGCACCTCCTTTACGGGTGTCTTGATTTTATTCTATTTTGTAACATACTGATCGTTTCTCTTTCTCTCTTTCCTTTTTCTTTTTATTATTTGTTTCTACTATTGTTCTACGTTGATCCTTTCCACGTTTGTTGCATATCCCAACAGACTCTACAAGTAAGTGAGATTTCGAAGAATAAGATTACTTTATTCACATGATGCATCGACTACTGTTTGTTGTGTGGAGCGTTGCTTTCCTCCTGCTGCTCGCTGTGACAGGCGCAAATGGCCTGTACGTGCTGGAGTTGGTCCAAGTGGCCCACCGCAGCGGAGTGGAGCCGCCCCCGGCGGATGCACCCAACCGAACCAAACAGTGCAGTCCCAACGGCACAACTGACTGCGCAGCCATGGCAAATTATGGCGCGCAGCAGTTGAAGGCCATGGGGACCTACATCCGGCAACTTTACAGTGACGATGCACAAATTACCAACAGCGCCACGTGGCTGGGATCCACCTATGATCCTACCGCCGTGAGGTCCCGTGCCTTTGCTGACCCAGCCACAGCTCAGGCGGCGACTGCACTGCTGAGCGGCATTTACGCCTCTCCTGGGGAGTCCATCACCCCCGCCATCATTTCAACCGCCCCTGACCTGGACACCCTGCTCAACGTGGAAGCCATTCCTTCCTTTGCCATTGCAAACGAGCTGAATGCCGCTGCGCTCAACAAGGAGCTTGCGAAAGTGGTGGATGAACAGTTCCCCGACCCCCAATCGCTGCCTGCCATGGGCGCAGAGGTCGGTCTCGACGCGATCTGCTCAGACTCGTCCCGGCGGGTGTTGTGCTGCGACCGCCTGCAGCGGCTGGCGACGATGTACACGGCGATGGGAACTGCCGGCGCCGCCCCCACGCTGGCGGCCCACGCGGCGCAGTTGGATGCCGTCGCCGCCGCCCGCCACCGCGCCCTCTACGGCTACAACGCCACGCAGTCGACAGGCGCCGCACGCGGGAGCCTCGGCCAGACACTCGCACAGGAAATGCTGAAGAACATGCGCCGCAAGATGCTCCTGGAGGGCAATAATGGCCACAACACACACCGCGTCATGCACTACGCCCACAACATTCCCATTGACACGGCACTGGGCTACAGTCCGGAGACCAAGACGCCACTGGCGGAGACGTTCCTGCTGGATCTTCTCCGAGACGAGGGAACGGGTGCGTTCTTTGTTCGTCTTCGCTACGGAAACGTGGCGCCCGCTGCGTCCCCTGAAGCAGTACCCGCTGTTGCTGCCGCCCTCTTCCCGTTCCGATGCCTCAGTGCTGCCAACGTGCCCACTGATGCCACCACATCAGATGGTCTAATTTGCCCCTTTGACGACTTTGCACGTTTTGTGGATTCCAGCAAGGGTACGGATGCCGCAGGTGGTGTCTGCTACCTTGACGAGGATACAAAGAGTGAGTTTGGTTGCAACGTGGAAGGTGCAGCTCCATCAGAAAAGTGTGCAGGGTACCGCGCAATGTGTCCAGCTCAGGCGTGTCCGTCAGGCTTCGTTTTTTCCGTTGCAGACGGTTCTTGCAAACATATTGACATTGTTAAAGATGTTATTTCTAATGGACCTGCTGTTGCCGTTGGTATCGTATCCGTTTTCTGCGGCTTTGTTTTGTCCTTTGTTATTATGCATATTTGTCCAATGTTTTTCTTGAAGAATGCTAAAAAGAGTGCAAACTCAGACTTTCTATCCCCCCAATCCCCGTTGACAGAGACAGGAGCTGTGGAGGAAAATGGCAAGGGCGTGAGAGAAACAGTCAACGAAAGGGAAAAAGCAACGGAGGAGAATGACAATGAATTTACTCGGAGAGGGTCCTGATCTGTAAGATTGAATGTAGACGATAAATTAAAAGGGGAAAATAGGGGGAAATGCTACTATGAATAGTAAAAATGAAAAAACAAAA